TCTGTGCTTGCTGGATATCACACAGTATCTATTCTCAGCAAACATGCTATTAACTGAGAACTTTTGGATAAGGTCAATACGGTGATAACTAGTAATAATGAACAACAATGATTATCATTTTGAGCACACTCAACGTATCAGGCATTATGGCCAACATTTGACATCATCTCATTCAATCCTTAAAATAATCATATAAGGCAGATTCTATTACTGCCTCCGTTTTACAAAAGCAGAGACTTAGCTTTAGGATAAGTAATTTTCCCAAGATGACACAGCTAGTGAGTGAAGAGCCAGAATGTACACTCAGGTCCAAACCCAAAGCCCATGTTCTTAACAACTATGTTCTACTGGAACCAGAACAGGACACTTTCAAACAATGAAACAGAAATGTTGCACAAGTTATCTTGAACGTGGAGTAATACAGTCATAAATTATTTCTCAAATACAAACTCAAATCTGAATTAGATCCAGAATCAACAAACTTTTTTTTTTGTGAGGAAGATCAGACCTGGACTAACATTGGGGCTAATCCTCCTGTTTTTGCTGAGGAAGACCAGCTCTGAGCTAACATCTATCGCCAATCCTCCTTTTTCTCCCCAAAGCCCCAGTAGATAGTTGTATGTCATAGTTGCACACCCTTCTAGTTGCTGTATGTGGGATGCGGCCTCAGCATGGCCGGAGAAGCCGTGCGTCGGTGCGCGCCCGGGATCCGAACCTGGGCCGCCAGCAGCGGAGCGCGCACTCAACCGCTAAGCCACGGGGCCGGCCCCCCAACAAAACATTTTGTAGGTCCAGGAACTATCCTCCACACTATCACTTACAGTCTCGATGCGACTTAAACCTTTTTTTGGAAACAACTTCAGGGTAAGAGCCACTGCTTCTAACTTACAAGCATCAAGGAAAAATGAAAATTTCAAACCGAGGGAAGGGCAGCACTGACACCCGGGCTACTTTTCCCTCTTGATTTTCACAGAGTTCACAGCATAACAGTCATGTTATCGTGTACCTTAATTGATAGAGGGTATATTTGCAGTGGGATGAGATGCACTTTTCAAATGAAAATTTCAATACTTTTTCAATAACAGAAGAGAATAATTACTACGGATAAAGACAGACAATCTCTGTTTACTGAAACAGACAATTCTTACAAAATAACAGAAACTTAATAACAAGCACTATCTAGTCTTCGGATCTTATATTCTCTAGCACCAAAGTTCACGAATGCCTCCCAAAATCCAAGGGAGGGGCTCCATGTGGTGGAATAACACTACCAACTACAACCTGTAGAATGCCTGACACGTGTTAGCCAATTGCTAACAGTGACTGACCTGAGCAACCAGACTGTCAATTCCGGTCAAATAACCTCTTAGAGCAAGCAGCAGTCAGCCCCGACCTCTCTGTAAGCGAGTGCCCGGCGGGCTCCTAAGGGGCAGTCGCGCACAGACCCAGAGCAGAGGCGAAGGCCCGACTCTCAGGCTGACAGCCCCTCCACCCGCAGGGGCGAGGGCCAGGCAGTCTCTCCCACACCTCAGCCGGGCCTCAGCCGTCCCGCCAGGCAGCGCTGGCAGGAGACGGAAACAATAAGTTTTCACAGATGAGGCGTACGGGGGACCCATTCTAGCTTAAATTTGAGTCAGCCTAAAACGTGTTTTCCCAGAGCTGCCTGACTTGCGGCCCAAACAGGTCCCCTGCATCCGCTCCCAGCATCTTCCCAAAGCCAAGCGCGCGCTCTCCAGACGTGCCTCTGGAGACAGGGAGGCACGTCTCCCGCCGACACCGACAGCAGCACGTCTTCCAAGGCCAGGGAACCAAGGTCGAGCTGACCCGTGTCTGTGCTAACCCGGGGCAACACATGTCCCGCGGCTTTGGGGGAAACACTGTCTTCCTGTCACGCTGGCTGTGCGTTCTTGGTCGGAAGCGTGGTTCCCAGCCCTGCGCGCCCCACTCCCGGAGCGCTTCTCCCCGGGGGGCGGGGGCGCCCCAGCCCGGCCCTCGCGGGAAGCTCATCCAACCCCTGTCTACCCACAGATCCCTACTACTACTCGCCTCCACACAGCCTCGGGGCTGTGCCACGGGGACTCAGGGCGGGGTCCGACTGACCTCTGCCCGGCGGACAGCGGACCCTCGCCGGACAGAAAGCGTGTACCGCGGGGACCCAGGGCTCCTCGCCAGACAGCTGAGCCCGGAGTGCCGTGTCCACCCGTGTCCGGAACACACCACTGGCTCTGGAGTCGGGAGGGAACTTCCCAGGATAGGGTGCTGAGCCTGGAGCGCTCGGCCCGTCTGGGAAAGGCGCCAGGATGCCCTTTAAGACGCGCGGCTTCCTCAGGAGTCAGGGCGGGAGGTCCCGGCCCTTCCTGCCGAGCGGTCAGGGCTCCCAACCAGGCAGAGCCAGCTCCTGCGGGGCTCGGGGTCCTTCTTCCTTCCCCTTCCCCGCAGGGACCCCAACCACCCCCGCCCCTGTCCCCTCCCCGCCCCTCCCCCACCCAGCGTTTCCGTGTTTGTCAACAACCCCACCTGGGCCTCTACACCTGAGGCGGCGGGACCCCTCCGCTTCCAGCGAGACAGGTCATCAGGAGGAGAGTTCTCGAGACTAGAGCTACCTCCTCGCCGGCCTCTTACTCACCTCAGGCCCAGGCGAGGGTACCGCGACACTTCACTTCGACATCCGCCTCCCGGCGGCGATTCAAACTCTGCCACCAGATTCAAACCCAAGCCAGCTGCCTCAGCGCCTGCTTTCATTGGCTGCTGTCTTCGTGACGTCACCACGTTGCACGTTGCCGCGGCGCGCTGCAGCTCGGCGCCTGGAGTCTCAGCCGCGCGGCGCCGTGGCCGTTGCTCAGCTCTGCGTCGCCGTGGCAACGCGCCGGGCTGTGGGCGGAGTCAGTGGCCGAGGTGGGCGGGGCTCGGCCGAGCTGCAGGTGGGAGGCAGCCGCCTGGGATCTTCAGGCCGCGTCCAGAGCCGGCGCGCGGGGCGCGGTCCCGGGGTTCGGGGTGTGCGTGGGGTTCAGGATGTGCGTGAGACGGGTGCGGGCAGGGGGTGGCGTGTGCCCTCTGCTAGGGGGAGAGGCGGAGCCTGTGGGGCGTGGATTAATGGGTTCTGAGTGTGTATCTTCTTGTCTCTTGTGGGTAGTGAGGCCTCCAAGGCACAGGTTCGTGCTCTGGAAGGTGTAGGGACCTGTGCCTTGCGGCCACTTTCGCTTGGCCCGAACTCGGGTCAGTTCGCCTCGATTAATTGAAACGCCGGGGGCTTTTGGTTGGAGGCCCCAGGCTTGATTTCTCAGGACTCCCGGGCCTACTGCCGTTAGCGCTGAGTGGGAAACTATTTGGTGTTGGGCTGCTTTTTAGAGTTCTTTCTAATGATGGCATGACAAAATAAATGTTTAAATGTATTGGCCTAATTCATTATTGGATGCAGTAGTTTTTTAAGTCCTAGGCTGTAGGCATTATTTCAGAATGTACACTTTAAAAAGGGAAAAAATACCTGGGAAATATGTTTGCTAAGATAACTCGTGTTTCTTTGTCAGGATATTTTTAATAGTACGATCTGTATGTTGTTCTTTATGTTACCATTATGGTGTCCATTCATTCAGCAGTTATTGATTGTAGATTTTAGGGACATAACAACCCACAGTTGAGTCAACATCCCTGTCCTCCTGGAGCTTCTGTTCTGGTGATTCAGTATCACGGTATCAATAGGATAGAACAACACAAATGCAGACTATTATAAGTGAAATATGTATGGAAATTCTCCATATTATGGACATTTATTTCCTGTTGAAGAAAAATCAGAAGCACTGTGTATTGTATATGATGCTTGTTATATGATTGTTTCTGAACACTGGCTACAGCATCAATAAAACTACTAATTGCTGGCTGTATTATATATACCTTAGCTAATTCAGTAGTTATTTGTGAGGTGCTGGGTTTGGTAATAAAATTGAGAAGCCTTTTTATTTTATTTCAAGTATGCTCTCACTCTACAGAACTTGACCTTAGATGTCCCAGGCATTTTATTAACTTTATATATGTTATCTCATTTAATTCTCAAAACAGCTCATGAGATGTAGACACTATTTATTTTACTGAAGAGAAAACTGAAGTTTTCAGAAAATCACTAAAGGAAAATATTTCTCTTGAACTGTACAAACCAGCCAAGTCAGAATTGAATCATATGTCCCTGAAATACTTTCTAGATTAAGTTCTATTAAGATGCTATCTTAGTCTGAAAATAGGCATATACTACCAATTTCTCATAAAATCGCGTTGATCAGTGGTGAATATGGAGGTGTTTTAAATGTCATTTTTGACACCCACATTGTATAATCCGTTCCAGTCTCACAGGTGTTTCTACACCTAATCTAAATACTTATTTTACATACAACTTTAAATTCTGCCTTACAACTTTAAATTCTGCCTTACACTTGCCATCTAGCAGTGTTCAGATGATGAGGTCCGTATTCTTAAGGAATTGTATATTTAGTTAAAGCAGGAATTTTAATGTTAGAATCAATGCCATTACTATGCCAGCAGGCTTCCCTTTAGTTTGGCAAGACATTAAGGAGTATAAAAGAAAGGATAACAGACTGGCATACTTTGGAACGTAATGAAGGGAAAAAGAACCAAAACTTTCCAAACACGTAGTGCTAAGGCGACAGAAAGCCCCACCTTTCGTCAAAAATTGAAATATAACTAACTGCCGTGTTATTCAGAACACAGAAATTTCACAAGGGTTCATAGTAAACTGAAAGAGTGGGGATAAGGATAAAATGGAAAGTTAGACTCAAGTTGCATCAGACATTAAAAAAAAAGTAAAAGTGAATTTAAACCTGGCTATGGTAGGGTCTTATTTACCCCTGTCCCCCAGGAACACCGTTTGGCACCCCCAGCGCCTGACGACCCTGTGGCAGCCAGGGGACGCGAGCAGCGGAACGAAAGGCAGAGGGACTCGGTTGCTGGGGCGGACGCGGGCCGATGTGTCCGTCCTTGCGAGTTTCCCCCAGGGCTGCGACCTAGACGTGCGGCAATTTCAGGTTCTCCGGCGCCGCGGTGGTCGTCGCCGGCCCGAGTCAGAGGCCGACTGAGACATTTCGGCGCCTCAGGTGAGGAGCTGGTGGCCGAGGCCGGGAGCTCCCGTGGAGCCCACCCCAGGCTTCGGGGGAGTTCCGGGGTCGCTGGACTCGCCCCGGCAGAGGGAGCACACGCCCCCTGTCCTGCACGCTCGTTCACCCTGAGTTCAGGAGTTTCTGAACAGTTTTCCTTCGTCGGAGTGTAAATCTGAGGCGAAGGGGTGCATCCTCCTCTGTCCGCGAGAAGCTTCTCGCGCCCTCCGCGTTCGGGCGCCAGCCTGCAGGTCGGGATTTGGGCCGTAGCCATGACGTTTCCGCGCGGGTTTTCTCTGCAGGGAGAGCTGGCGGCAGTGCTGGTGATGGGCAGCGCCGTTGAGGAAGTCGTTTTCAAGGGTGCATCGCTGGCCTGTGTGTCCCCATGGTTGAAAGAGTAACCGGGCCAATTCTGTGGTCTCGGCAGTTGAGACTGGACTCTGCTGGCAGAGAACAGTTGAACAACTTGCCTAGGACCCCACGGAGTTGGCTCTAGAGGCCGGGTTTCCCGACTCCCTGCTGCTCCCTGGGACAGAAGGCCCTGAAACCATCCCACGTCGTTTAGGGTGGCTGGTTCTTAGCCTACAGGGGTGCTCTGGTTGTCCGGTAGGAGAGTGGGCTGCAGGCGAGAGGGAAGGAACTCCCTGTAGAGCTGGCCCCCTTCCATTTTTAGGGAGGTATTCAAGGAAGCAACCAAAAAGGAAATTTAATTATTGAACCCCTTTCTCTATGTTGATCCACATTAGTAGCCAATTAGTGCATAATAAAATCTTCAGGCTTTGCACCTGTATAGTTGAGTAAATACATAGAAAGTGAATGCAGAAAAGAATTAAATGGGGGCAAAACAAGCATTTTTTCTATCTATCCTACTTGCTTTTTCCTGTGTGGTTCTGTTGCCTGTATTGGAATCGATGGGGGTTTTTTGTTCACTTGTTTTTTAAAAAAATTATCAAAATCTGGACGTACAGTGTAGCTTGTTTAAATCCTCCAGATTCCAGTATTTAGACCTATACATTGTATGTCCTCTGTTGGGTACCCCACAGTATACTGTATTTCAGAGTGGAGTAGGACAAAGCAATAGGATATTGGCTCCTTAAAAAAAGAAAGAATCTAATTCATGAAATACCACAAATACATAGTCAATGTAATTGAAATACCATCCAGTTACATGAGTGCATTAAATAGAGTCAGCGGTCTGTGTTTATAGCATAGAGGTTAAGATGGCAGGCTCTGGGGGTAGAATGCTGGAGTTACAGTTCTAGCTTTATGACTCTTTAGCCATGTGACCTTTTGGCAAATTACTTCTCTGTTTTCCTCATCTGTAAAATGGAAATAATAATAGTACCTAGCTCTAAGAGTTAGGGTAAGGATTGAATGAGTTAGTACATGTAGTGTGCTTAGAATAGTAAGTGGTACTTAGTAAGTGCTTAATAAATGTTAACTTTTATTTTGAAAAATATTAGAAACACTAAGTTAGAGGGTACTTGGGTTGACTTTGTATAAGCTTTCTGGAAAACATAAGGCATAATTAATGATTTGGCTACTTTGTCACTGCTTAAATCCAAAATTTTACTTAAAACGCTCATTTCCAGTCTACTTTTTTTTTGCCGTATTTTTCCTGTGTCACATTTGCTGCATAAATTCTGTGGATCATGTCTTTGGTAAAGATGACATATTATCCTCAAGGTAACATCTTGATATTATATTTATATAATATCAAATATATATATTGGTATTTCTTTTCTAGTCATTACATATGACCAACATTTCAACAGTGTGCTTCATTTTCTATTGGAAAAGGAAGGGAAGGCATATGTAAGCATGAGTTATGTTTCTTGAAGTATTTTGAGAATGTTGTTTTTGATAGGGTCAGTCAGACACTTGAAATTTCCTAAAGCAAATTTTGATAAAAATGTTAATTCTGTAGAATCTGGAAGTTATCGATCCATTCATTTTTTTTTTTTTTCCAGAAAACACTTATTAAGCGCCTAGTGTGCATCTGATTTTGTGGATATAAAAGTGTAGATCTTACTCTTAAATAACTCTTAATCCATGAGGAAGAGGGAGTAGTGTTAACTCAGTATTTACTGTAGTAGTATCAAAAATGTTGCTTGCGAACAATTGGGTAAAAAGCATAATATTTTCAAAAAGTCTTCTGTTAATATATTTACATTATTTTTTCCTCTGCATTTTAAAGAGTTACAGATTATAGAATAAAATTGAACAAGTATGAGAAAATGAAAGAATGCATCAGTTATTTATTTGCTTGTTTTGGGGGGCAGGGGACAGACAATTAAAACAAAGGTGGATATAAAATGCCAACGTGTGCTCAGTTGAGTGTTTCTAAAGTTATAGTTTAAATTGATATATACTTCATTGATCTATAGGCCATGGTGAGATGATCTCATCAGAGAATATCCATGACAAGTCTGCACGGTTTTTGCAGACTGATCACTTCCTTTTCTTTTTGGCTGTACGTGCCTAGTCTTTCCCAGGGATAGTTTCTCAAACAATTAAAGTGAAGATGAAGATTTAGCATTATGAGAAAAACAAATAGAAGAGCTTGAAATAAAAGACCACCTGAACCTCAAATAGGATAATATTTATAATCCCTTCAGTCACCCACATAGCTTTTTCAAATAAACAGTTCTAATGCATTGAACCCATTCTTTAGACTTAATTAAAATTCAAAAAAAGTGCATTTCAGAAAAATATCTAAATAATCAATTTTTACATCTCTGATGGTTAAAACACTGATGGTCTTGGAGCTTGTCAGGCTACACTAAAAAGTTATATTTTCAGATCATTTCTGGTGTTGTCTTGGGTTCCTTCTTTGCTTAAGGAGGTTAGTCACCATCACTTGTTTGAGGTGATAAGTCTTACATATTCTTTTCTGTGCTAAATATTGCGTATTAATTTGCTTTCTCCCAAGTATTATAAGTCTTTTTAAAAATCCAACAATCTTGATATTTTTAATTTTTTTTCTAGATTTGTTGACCTACAGAATGCTTCGATACCCATATTTTTCTAGAATCTATAAAGAATTTCTTTCATGCTGGTTGGAATCTCGCATATTTAGTTTAGGTGTCTGGCCAAAAAAAATACATGCTACAGCAGAAAGATATAATGACTATGAAGCCCAGGAGCAAACAGATCAAACTGGAGCTCAGGAGTTACACAAATCTCAAGACAGAAATCCTGAAGCCATGACTCAATTACATGTTCCAGTAATGGTGGATGAAGTTGTTCGTTGTTTGGCACCACAAAAAGGACAGGTAAGTTGATTAGTTTTTATTTTTTTACACTTTTTTATTTGAAATATAATTTGCTTATCTTAATAGTCATAATTTTAGAGTGTACAATTCAGTGGTTTTTACTATATTTACAAAGTTATGCAGTCATCACCACTATCTAATTCAGGAAGATTTTCATCACCCCAATAGGAAACTCTATACCCATTAGCATTCATTCACTCCCCATTGGCCCCTTTTGCCTTGACCCTGACAACCACTAATCTGTTCTTTGTTTGTGTGGATTTGCCTAGTCTGGACATTTCATATAAATGGATTCATACAATATGTGGCCTTTTGTGTCTGTTTTCTTTTACTTAGCATGTTTTCAGGATTCATCCATGTTGTAGCATGTATCTGTACTTCATTTTTTTTTTATCCCTGAATCACTCCGTTGTATGGATTTGCCACATTTTTTTTTAATCCATTTATCAATTGATGGCATTTATGTTTACATTTTTTGGCTACTGGGAATAATGCTGCTATGAACATTTATGTACAAATTTTTGTGTGGACATATGTTTTCACTTCTCTTGGGTATATACCCAGGAGTGGAATTGCTGGATCATATGGTAATTCTATGCTTCACTTTTTGAGGATCTGCCGAACTCTTTACCAGAGTTGATTAGTTTTATCAAATAGCAGGTTTAAAAGAAGAACATTACACTGGCTAACTGGTTAGGGTGTGAAAACTGAATTGTAGTATAGCTTCTTGAGAATTTTAGTATCTTTTCGGGAATGACTGGAGACAAAGGTATGGATCTGAATTCCTACTCCCTGTTTCCTTAGACTTAGTTTTCAGCTACGTTGCTGTCTTATTCAGAGTTCTCCAGAGAAACAGGACCAATAGGATATGTGTGTGTGTGTGTGTGTGTGTGTGTGTGTGTGTGTGTATGGGGAGATACAGACAGAGACAGAGACAGTGATTGATTGATTGATTGATTAATTGATTTTAATGAATTGACTCTTGTGTTTATAGAGGGTTGGTTAAGTCCAAAATCTGCAGAGTAGGCTGGCAGGCTGGAGACCCAGGTAAGAGTTGCAGTTTGAGTCCAAAGGCAGTCTGCTGGCAGAATTCCTTTTTGTTCCATGGAGGTCTGTCTTTGTTCTATTAAGGCTTTCCACTGATTGGATGAGGCCCACCCACATTATGGAAGGTAATCTGCTTTACTCAGTCCAGCAATTTAAATGTTAGTCTCATCCGAAAAATACCTTCACAGAAACATCCAGAATAATGTTTGACCAAGTATCTGGGCACCATCGCCCAGCCAAGTTGACACGTAAAATTAACCATCACACCTGCCTTTTTTGTAGTGTTGCTGGCAGGATTATATAAGGTCTTAGATATGAAAATGCTTTAAAATCTGTAAAGAGATCACAAAAATGTTAGGTGATATAATATCCTAAAAGAAAAAGCTAGAAACTTTCTGAAAATTAAGCACATTTACAAAGGAAATTTTACAGTAGTAAATTTTCTTCAATTGTCTGTTAATAACTTAATGCTGCTACTGACTTTAGAAATATGATTTCTTATTCTAGAAGCTACTATTATTACCTAAATCAGTTATTTTCATTTTAAAAGTTACACCTTGCTTCTTTTTCCATCATTTAGTGATTTAGTGGTTAAGAGTAAAGATTCTATAACTGGACTGCCTAGGTTTGAATCCATTGTCTAGCATACATGTGTGCACATACACACACACACACATACACACACATGTACACAGCTCTTAGTTTTTTTTTTTGAGACTTCTTCAAGTTGGATCAGACAGTTTTCATGAACTAAGTTCTAAGCTACATGTATAAAGTATGCTAGATGTTGCTCATATAAAAGCCATCAGTGATATGACTTAGGTTGATTCACCATAAAAATAGTCTCTTTACCTTATCCTTAGGCAGTATATATATAACAAAATAAACCCAGTATTCTTAAATGAGATTGTGTGTATAAAGCATCTACCTCAGTGCTGTCACATAGTAGGGACTCCAAAGTAAACATGAAAATGTAAATTAAAAAATTAAATTGGATAAAACTTCCTGTTAAATACAACTTTATCAAAATGAAATTCTCTTCATTTTCTTTAAAGATTCATAATGCAGGGATAGCAATTAATATCCATACTTAAATGTGAGTTTAAGAAAGTTTATATAAATGTGTATATTATATTTGAGATATATGTATAAGAGGGGAGGGGCAGTTAGTTAGAAAGTGGAACTGAATTCAATGGCTTGAATTTGACCTCTGGAACCAGAAACGAAAGCTCATTGTATAAATTTGCTGAACACTAGTAGCAAAAACCAAATATTTATTTTGCACTAATCCATAAGTGAAAAACAACCAAACAAAAACAAACCCCAGTAAGTCTCCTACTAAATCAGTATTGGATCTACCTTTTTTAAAAAACCAGTGGAATAAAATTAGACGATTCTACAACCTGACCTGCTGTGCTGTTTCATTCTGTTCGAGTTCCTGACAAATGTAATGTTGGTTTATTTTGACATTTCCATTGTTCTGATTTGAGTTAGGTTTTCTAGTAACTTTTTATAGAAAGTTTAATTTTATGAATGTTATTTCTGAGAACTTTCATGTGAGGTATACTTAGAGATAATGTTATTTCTTACCTTTTCTGCTGTCTGGCAGACAGCCTTATTCACTATTCCCTTAATCTTCAAGTAATAAAGAACTGATGACAGTCCTTGGACAGGAAAGGTCTTCATTTCTTCCAGAATCCATTATTTGCTTCTTTTCTTCCTGAGCCTTTTCCCCAAAATAATTTTCCTTTTGCAAACTATGACTCATACTCTCACTTTTATCAATCACCAACTTAATTACTGTTTTTCACATCACCCTCGATGGTGAATTTATAAATGAAAATTTGATCATAACAGGAACCTTAAAAAATATAAGGCTTTGGTCATTTAATAGTTATTTCCTTTTCTTTAATATTTAAAAAGTGCTTAGCTAAAGAAAATAATTGATTTTGGGAATTTCTTCTGTGTCATAGCCAATTTACTGCATAGTAATTTAGTTTTATAAATATAAGCAAGATATTTACAAGTTTGAATTAAAAGAAAAAAAATCCTCTTATCTTCCTCTCGCTTGGAAGGTGCAGAAGGAGTTAAATAAATTATAATTCTTTCTCCTTGCCTGGTTTTCATTATTTCATATTCTGAATGAATGACTTGTTGTAAAAATGTATTACTTAGTCTAAAAACATTTTTCTTGCTCCTAGAGATCTTTTAATGTAGGCTACCTTGGTCAAGTTTTCATTCCTAATTTCTGAAAACTGGAGAAGATCAGCATGATCCTTCCTGGTTGAAGATGGTAGCAGTTTGGAGGATATAGGAGACTGAGTATTCTTTGCCCAATAGTAGTGCTAATTTAGCTTGGTGCCTTGGGATTTCTAGAAGAGAGGTAAGTTATGAGGGAGGTAATGGACGTGCAAGGACTAGTAGCAGTAGCTGTGTAACTTTGGACAAGTAACTTATCATGGCTGTGCCTCAGATTCCTCATCTGTAAAATGAGGAAATGTAACCTACCTCATATAATCACTTTGAGGATTAGATGAGTTCACATATGCAAATTGCTCAGAATGATATATTCCGAGTAGTATGAGCTCAATAAACATTAACTATTAGTATTATGGGGGTAGGAATTGTCAGCATTGGTAGCTAGATACAATAAAATTCAGGAGAAAAATTCCAGGAGACAGCAAAGGTGGAAATAAAAGTTCCAGCAAAGGTGGAACCAACATGTCTGGAACTCGAGCTGAAAAAGTACCATTTCCTCTGCCTGAAACACTCCTTATCACCATCCTTTAGGTCTTGAGTCAAATTTCACTTTCTCAGGGAAGCTTTTTCTCAGCCTGCAGAGGAGGTAGGTCTCCTTGTTATACATTCGTGGAGTCATATACTTTTCTTTCATAGCACCTACAATAATTTATAATTATAATTTTTTAATGAGATTATTTGTTCAATGGACAGCTCTGCTAGCAGACTGCCCTCCATGAAGTCGTGCACATGTTTATTTTGTTTACCATTGTATCTCCAATGCCTAGCACAAGGCCTACAACATGGTGGGTTTGTAATGATTTTTTTTTTTTATAATTTTATTTATTTATTTAATTTTTCCCCCAAAGCCCCAGTAGACAGTTGTATGTCATAGCTGCACATCCTTCTAGTTGCTGTATGTGGGATGCGGCCTCAGCACGGCCGGAGAAGTGGTGCGATGGTGCGTGCCTGGGACCCGAACCCCGGGCTGCCAGCAGCGGAGCAAGCGCACTTAACCGCTAAGCCACGGGGCCGGCCCATGTAATGATTTTTCAGTGAATGAATAAAGGTCAAAGTAAAGTGGAGGACAGATGTGAGGCACCAATAAAAGGAATGTTTCTTGGGTACTGAGGTAGTTCTGGGGCTCGAGACGTTTATATGGTTCCAGCCTCTGTGTGGCAGGCCCAGTCTGGTGAAGTAACTGGAGAAACTTGGGAAAGGAACAGGTACTAGGGCTGAAAAAATGAGCTGTATCTAAACTGATGCAAAATAGATTATGATAAATATCAGGCTAAGGTAGTAAGATTGAGTTTATAAATATTCCAAATAAGTTATCTATTTTGATATTCTAACATTTAATATTAATTTCATAATTACTAGATTTACCTAAAGTTGTCATGGTACCAAATATGATAATTTTCTTTATAAAAAAATTCATTATGCTCCATATAATGGATTTTTCTTATGATCAATAGCAGTATTTCACTTGTTTTACTTGAAAATCTTTATAATATTTGATGAAGAGTAAATATCAAAGAGAAAATCCTGAGACTATATGTTTGCTCTTTCTAAATATTGAAGGCTGATGGATTATAGACAGGAGGAGCTTAATTTATTTTATTTGACCTTGAATTACTGAAAAAGTTAGAAACTTTTTGAAGAGACAGGACCAATGCCATAGTACCTGTTGTGAGATGCCTTGTTTTTCTTTTTCA